GTGTTTGAATACCTTTATGTTACTGTTATTGTTGTTACATACGTTGATTTTACATTGAATTGTCTAATTTTGTAGCTGCTGTATTTAATTGAAATAAGCAATACAAAATCTTAACTATAATGACAAATTTTTTTTATAAATTAAAATTATTAATAAAGGAGGTGACTATAGACTTTTTTCTGAATATAGAGTGTGCTTTTCACACTGCATTACCAAAAACAACACTTCTCAATTGTACTCAATTAGTGTACTTAATTATGATGTGGCTGCATCCCTGGTAATAACATACACATATTGTGAATTTAATTAATTAATTTAAAATACTAAAAAAACGAGAAAAAATAGAGTTGACCTTGTGAACTCTGTGATACCCGCACAAATTTGTTGTCTTGTGTGCGAATAAATACGCTATAACTGACTATGGGAGAGATGACTTTAAGTTGCCGTATTACCATATATATTTATGCAAAATTTCAGTACAATGTGTTTTTCAAAATACTGTGTGTGCTAAAATACAATTGAAGTTGTATGGCAGCCACAAGAAAATGGCAAGCAATTTTAACGACTTTTAACACATCGGCCCTACTAATATATTTGCTTGTGTGAAATATCAATACCACAGCTTTTATAGTTTCTGAGATATAGCCAAATAAATTTTGAAGTTGTATGACAGCTACCCGAACCAGTACCCCGATCATGCCCAATTTAAATAGGGTTCTGGCACTTACAACAATAAATCATTTGTGGAAATTTGGTGAAGTTAGCTCAATTAGTTTTTTAAAGTAAATCAACTCAGAATTCGACGCTGATCAAAAACATTCACTTGAGTCTATATCCAAGACCGTTATTTCTTAGCGTTACAAACGGTAAGGAAAATTTAGTATATCCTTCGAACATACGTTCATACGGGTATAAAAATTATTTATTTTTATATTTGAAAAAAAAAAAATTTCCAGCTCAATGAATTTACGAAATAATTCTCTTAGGTTATTTGTATTTAATTATTCATATTCTAATAAATATTTTTTTTTTATTATTTGAAAAATATTAAAATTTTAAATAATTAAATTCACCACATTTGTTCCAAAAAAAAATGTGCTGCATAATTTTTCATATTTTCAATTATATTGAATATATCGGGAAAATTCAAATTTTATTTGTTTATTTAAAGATTTTAAAATGATAATTTTAATAATAATATTGAACATTAAATTTGAAATTCCCAGTTTTAATGTATAAAATTTAAAAATCGATTTTATTTCGATTTAGAGTGCATAAGAATTTTTAGATTTGCTAACTAATCGCTTAAGTTGACCGCAGTAACTAAATCGTAGTGGGCTTTAATGCCTTCTAAGCCCCGCAGTTCAAATTATGTTCCAAATTTTCAAAAGTCGAGGCAAAAATGTAAAATTGTGTATGATTATTAAATTTAGGAATGAAACAGAATTCAATTTTTAAGCTTAAAATCTTAATTTTTGTATTAACCTTTTAAAATTTACATCATTAGGTAACAAGCTCTTAAAATTTTTTGTTTTTATCAAAAATATTTTTGAATTTGAATTTTAAAATTGAATATGAATGAAAAATAACAATACGCTAAAATATTTTTAAATATCCTAAAGCTAAATTTATTCACAAAATATTTTTTTTCATAAAATACAATCTTTGAAAGATTTTTAAAATTTAATGTTCATTTGCATAATTAACATGGTGGAGAAAGCATAAACTTTTCGAAAAATACGATTGATAATGAAATAAATTATTTTCGTGTATAACAATAATTAGTTCATGTAAGTGAGGATGCCTTAATTATAACATTAAATTTTAAATTTCACTTGTGTTATGAGTGATTTAAAGCTAAAAATATTAAAAAATAAAACACCGTACTTTTCGCAAAAATTCTTTTGATACTAACAAGCTGCATAGTGCTATTCCTCCATCTATTACCAGACCTTTATTATTTTGAAGACTCAATAAAATAAATAATTCTTTTCCGATTTTCTGATTTTTTCTTATGATTTTAAGAATTAATGTTGTGAAAACTTATTTTGCATATTTTTGAATAAAATCTAAAAATTCTTTTCTTTTAAATAAATTTTCTGTCTTTCATCAAATAAACAACAATGACTTTAATTTGGCCTTTCATAAAATTTCGGAAAGAACATGTTAATCACTAGTTTAAGTCACTTTTTAAAATAACCAAATATTTTTCATGAATTTCTTGTAAATCTGAAGCAAATTTTTTATTAAATTATTGAACGCTGTCCAGCGTGCTGTTTTATATGTATAAAATTAACATTTTTATAAAATGAATTCCATATTAAATTGATTTTGTCGGCATATTTGATAATGAGAAGCTGCCGCTGCAATATACAAATAAGATTAAATAAAATTGCATATATTTAGGGGCTAATAATATTGTTTTAAATGTTATTAGTGTTACAATTGTGATATTATTATGTACAGCGAAATTAAACCAATTTCTATATTTTTTTACTACTTACAAGAAGATTTCCGCATTATTTTAGTAAAAGGCGATTATAACGTTGTTGAAGCCACAACATTTTATATGGAAATTTAAAAAAATTGCGATAGAATTCCATTCAATTTTGTAAAAATTTTTCTAATTTTCCTAAAAACTCTAACTATTCGTAATTCACAATACTTGACCACAACTTTCTAAACGAAATCTTTTCAATTCTACTTAATGGAATGAGCTTTAAATAAATTTTTAATCGATTTTCACTATTAAATTGTTTGAGGAAAATAATTACTAATTTATTTTACTGTAGAAAAAAAATTTCTGTAAGTATAAACATTTTGAAATCTAAGTCACGCATACTTCTAAATTGAATATTTTGGAGTAACCTAGTAAAAGAGGTAAAGTTGTTACTTACCATATTACTCTCGAACATAATAACATTGTGTTACTACTTAATTTTTATTGTTTTCCATATAATGAAAATTTTTTATAAATTGTTTTCGAATTCAATGAGCATATAAAAGTAATTTAAAAAAATTAAGAATATTTTCATTACATTTTAAAATATAAGGTGTAAAAATTCAATGAGAAATCTTACATAACAAAGTCGTTTATTTTCCGAAAACATTTCCGATTAGTTTTTGAATTTTTATTATAGATTTTACCTCTTAATATGTTTAGGCAGTTGCCAAAGAGGAAAAATTGAATTTTTTTCTAAAACTATTAGAAATTTTTATACCATAATCTTGTATGTTACAAGAACCTATTTGAATTGTTCTAGATTGTTGTATGCCTTACGGTCAAAGAAAGGGAAAAGAACAAAAGCAAATGAAAATATTTAAAAAGCCTTCGTTTATTTAATTCTCATATAGAATTCGAATGAATTCAAATGTACATATGTAGCTGAATAAAGGATATTTTTGATATTAAGGATTTTATTTTCTATTTTTCTATAATATTTAGAAAAAAAAACAGAAAATTAAACAGCAAAATAAAAGGAAATTTTTTTTTAATCAGTATTTATTATAAGTCAATTATAGTTACATATTACACATATACATGTATGCATAAATGTAGAACGTATAGAGCATGTAGAAATATTTAAGAACATTTCTCTCTGAGAGTCCCTTAATTTTATTTCTTATTATTTTTTTGGATTTTATTTAATATGAATCCTTTCTTAAATAGAAATAATAATTATACTCAAAATGATTGTTATTTTTATTTGATATTCTATATACTAGTATTTAATATAGTTTTGTTTATTGGAATTTGATACCAGTTAGGCACATTTCATTTACTTTTCAAAAGTTATTATAATTAAAGTAAAGTTGCATGAAATGAATGGTTTGTAAAAAAGCACATTTCTGTAAAACATTCTTAAAAAAACTTAAACTTCCAATTATCTTAAAATCTTCGTATTGCATATTTTTAGGGGGAAGAACGATAATTATTTGAAGGGTTAATTTATAATGATCGGCTTAAGCGATTAATTGAGTCACTCTTTGTATATACAATGTGGAGTACTAAATTTTGGATGGAAGATGCAAATAAAAATTTTCTTGTACAAAAATAGATTCCATTACAAAACTATAACATTTATAGTTTTCTGTCTTGAGCATTAATAGTTTTGAATAAACAAGCGAACGGGCGAACAAATAGGATGAAACTAACAAACACTCTTATTTTTTTTTTAATCTTCTTCAAAATTGTACTAAAATGAACAGCTGAGCTTCTGTTTTTTAAAAGAAAATTATTAAAAATTAAATTTTTGTATCTGATTTAATTAAAAAACAAAATATCCACGTTTATTCCTGAAAAATTGCAATGAGAATTTGAATTTTAATTTATTAGAATTTGGGAAATTGGTTACAATTTCTTCATCGGCGATTGAGCTTTCTTACATAGACAAAAACCTAATCGCAGCCTTCTCAATGCATTATTAAAACTGATATTATATAAAATGTTTTTATATAGAAAATTAATATTAATGTAGAACATTAAAAAAATTTCTACCGAATTAAGAAAATAAATATTAAGAAAGTAAATAAGCTCTTTTTGTGTTACAATATTGTATGAGGCCTGAATGCAAAATCTCATAAAATCAATTACAATAGCAAATTTCTGAAAAAAAATATTGCCCATAGTTATTTCTCATGATATTGTGAATAATATCTATTGTGAATAAAATTGTATTATTTTATGTTGATATCTTTCATTAAAACTGACAAAACTGTTGAGAGTCTCATAGCTATTTGCTAAATTTTCCATAACATATTAAGAATATTGAGAAATAAGAAATGACAATTATCCTTATTATAATAAGGAATTTGTTTTCTTTCAAAATTTTTTTTTTTTGTATTTTTCTTACAAAGAAATTAATCCCTTTTCTAAATTCATTGAATATTTTGCTACTTGTAAATGTTTTCTTGTGTTTAATTTTATATTTACTTTTGCCTTTTATATAAAACCTTCTTTTATTTTCATTTTCTTCATAATTTTTTGTTTTCTTTTTCAGATACAAATTGGGGACTGCCATTGGCGATATCAGCAAATTTAGATATTACTTATCAAATGGAAATTGGATCAAAAAATCTTTTACAAAGCTCAAAATATAAAGACAAAATTGGAAAAGGTAAGAAAGTAAAAAAAAAAAATTCTCCTTATTCTTTTTTGCTTTGTTTGTGTGTAGTAGGTACGAAGTCAAAACCATTAAAAATTTTTTGCAATATTCAATAAAAAAACGAAAGTTAAAGATTGCAAATAATGAAGGAAAAAAAATTTGTTGAGAAAGGCAAAATTATTTTTTAAAATGACAAATAAAGTTGCACATCGGAAAGATCAAAGTTGCTTTTTTTTGAAAATTGTTTGTCTACTTTTGACAAATTTTCAAAACAATTTCTAAAAATGTTTTTACAATGAGTTTAAATTTAGAAAGTATTTTGTATAATCTAATATTACAGAAAAAAAAAATAAAATGTAGCTACAATAATTAAATTAAATATTTTATGTTGTAGACCTTAGATGTGGAACTGCCCAAAGTCTTCGTTTCATAGAAATAATCAATTGTTCCTTATCAAATCACTCCGAAATTTTCGACCATTCTTTTGTTATAAAGTTACTTCTGGATTTCGGTAGCCTTTTCGCCACATTTAGCCCTTTAAGTGGGCCCACAAATTCGCAATTGGATTGAGATCTAGATTTTCTGCATTTCTGCAGTTATAAAGCATATAGCTTCTTACCAAATAAGACTTATGCTTTGGCTTGTTATTCTGATAAAATTTATAATGATCAAGCGGACACAAATTTTCGACACTGTTTACTATATTCGTTTTTTAAATGTCTAGACATTGTTATGGTTATGATCAGGAATTTATTTGGAAAATTGTCTGTAATGGTTTGTAATATTTTATAGAAATAGATTTCTGTAATAATTTTCTCCACACTCTCGTTGTTCTTTCGATGTAATATAGCATATAATTTTAGTTTCATCACAGAATATTCTGAAATTATTATTGCTCCATAAATAATAGAACAAATAATAGGTAACGCTTCTTAATTATAAATATAGGACCATTACTTCTTATATGATGCTAATTTTTTCTAATCATTTCTTCGATCAAATTTACTTTTAAACTCATCCAAATTATTCTGTTTTCATAAATCTTTTGTGTATAACAAAAAATAACACTGAAATTATTAAAAGAAAACCCGTTGATCTTTCTTATAACTAGAAATTTCCTTAACATTCAATTAAAATGCATGTGTTTCTTATATGCTCTTAACATTTATCTTACGATGGATATTTTTAGCTTGTTATGAGCCTAATGGCTATCATATTCTTCATAATATAATTTTGGTGTATATTAAATCATCCTTAACCGTTTTCTAAAAATAAATATTTTTGTATTTTCTTTGACGTCCCTTGAAAAATTTGCAACCTTATTTAATATGTTTAGGGTAGCAAAATTATGATAATAAGCGTGAAATGCCTACGTAAATTTAAAATATCAATTTTCTGTGTTCTGAAATGATCTTAGAGATTTACAAGTGTATATTATACATTATTATAATAGAAATCAATTCATTTATATTAATAATATAAAATGCAAGTATGTATGTAGTGTACAAGAAGAAAAAAAAGAAAGACGATGTGGAAATCAAATTTATTATAATAATACCTGCGTATATTAAATCTATATCCTGGGAGATAAGGATAAAATTAAGAAAAGAAAAGAAGTTTAAAAATAAATTGATACGAAATCGAAATTTTCCAAGTAAATTTTATTTTTCGGAATTTTTAATTTTCTAATCATAAACTGAAGTAATTTTGACTAAAAATTTATATTTGAAAGACTTATGGTGCCGACTGATACGAAACTTGTAACATTATTTGGAATTGCAAATTTACATATTTACATGATTTGAGGGGCTATTATTTTTATAGAATGGAAGATAGGTAAAATCAAATTTTGAACTTAAATTCATTTCAAACTCCTTTTAATGGATTAACTGGTAAAACTTCAAAAATTTTTGTAACTATACAAAGATCTTGCAATTTATAGTGAAAAATTAATTCTAAAAGAACTAATTAAAATTATCCGCCTACATACTTTATAATTATATACGAAATGTATTCAGTTTATCACGACACATGTAATATCAGGGAGGAAATATGTATATGTGACTCCACAGAGTAAGTATATAATAATATTATATTCTTGCTCCAGAATCACATTTTAAGTGAATCTAACTAAGACCGTTCGTTCAACTGTTTTTTGAAAACTTATTTGAGAACGCCAACTTTGAACAGATTGCATATTTTTGCTGTACGCTAATTAGTATTGAATATGAGAAAAATTAATCCACTGAAATTGGTACCTCTTATACTATATCCCTGTAGAGGGCTATACAAAAAAATCACCAAATATATTCAAGCGGCATATCGTTGAAAAGCTCTATGAAATCTTCACAACTCTTGTTTGAAACCTTTTTTGAACATCGATATTCCAATTGTTTCAAGGATCCTGAGAAAAATCTTTTAAAAAAATGGAATTATATGGTCATATTGTTGTATTTAAAATAGCCAAATACCAAAATTAACATTTCCACTTATTTTTCCTTATTTTATTCATCAATAATTTCCTTCAACCTTCAAATACTCAAAGGAACATGAAATATTTATTATGCTCCATGAATGACCTACAGTACAGGCAGTTTGTGTTCGTATGCATATTTGTTCGTGTGTGCAAATATAAAAATATTCCAAATTTTCAACAATCAAACTTAATCTATTTACTTATATTCCAAATTCTATTAAATGAATATTTTGAAAATCACATTTCTTAAATCATTCAATTATTTTTATTGATTGAATTTTTTATTTAAATTTTACAATTTCCGAAAAAATTTTGTGCATATTTACTAATAATATATAAATATATTATCCTAATTATTTCCTTACATTCATACAAAATATTTTCCTCCTTCATTTTTCCATTTCTTGCAATAGGAGAAGAAATGGAAAAATTGAAGATTATTGCGACTATACAAAAGTCTCTCAGAATTCATCATTACTTAATTTTAATTTAGAACAATTTACAAAAAAAAAAAAGACAAAATAATTTTTTTCTCTTTTTATTTATTTTAATATTCAAAGTCACGTTTATCAAATATTTTCTATCATTATCATATAATCATTATCATCATCATCAATCGTTATCATCGTTCATCTTAAACATTATCATTGTCATTATTTTCTATATTATTGTACCATTGTTACTAGAGAAAGTTTACTATATGTACATATCCACTTACAAATGTGCAAATTTAAGAATGATCCAGATAAGATATAATATCAGTATATCACTTTAAAGATAATCAAGAGAAACGGAATGTTTGCAAGTACACATATACGAGTACTATGAAATTGAAGGACTTTATGAAAAAAGTGCGATGTTAGAAATTAATTTTGTTTTATTCTTCTTGTGAAAATAGAAGTATAGAACAGAAATGGCATTAAAATAGAGAAAATAGAAAAAAAAAATAGAAATTCTTTAGTAATTTTTTATTTTTATTTTTTTTTTCTACTTTTACTTCTACGTCTAACTGTATATTCAAAAAAGCAAAAGGAAGTCGTTGTCATTTCATGATGTCATGATTTTGTTATTCTTATGTTTTTTGTTTTTTTTTCTTTTTCTTTATTTGAATAGAGGATTTGAATAGGGTATTACAAAGTTTACCTATCACTTGCAGTATTATAAATATTTACAATTGTATTCTGGTTTAGTTGAAAATCTTACAATAGATTAAAATTTTCTGATTCATCTTTGATTTTTATGTCCGTCTGCCTAGTATGTTAATTTGCTTTTTGATTGCAGTTTTTTTTTTCCTTACTCTACTTGGAGCATAGAATTTTCACTTGGTTTTAAAACCGTATTTCTGTTGCATAAATCGTTGTGTTAACTAAACCAGTAGAATTAATTACCATTGATCTAGACTCTAGATATCCTTTACATATAATATAAAACAATGAATATTACAGAAAATTGTGGATGTGTGGTGATTAATTTTAATATTATTGTTTTAATATCTAGTTGTGAATAAATATTACTACTGAATATGAAATACTGGGACCTGTTTAAGGTTTGAACCGGAGACCTCTTCAATTGAAGGGTCGGTACCATAAACACTACACCGTTGACCATAGTCTTTGGTAGCTAAGTGATTCAAATTAATTTTATTTTTATAAATCAGCTTTGCAATGTCTATGATACGTCATTTCTAATTTTTTGGGCTAAATTTCAGACTAAATAAGGATTATAAAGCCGAAATTTTGGATTGAAGTTAAGAGGAAATAGTCATGGATTCTAGAATTGGTTTTTTGAATGAAATTGATATTAAATACTTAATTGTTTAGGATTTGTTTTTGATTCAGGGGAGCACATATGCTTTAGTTATAAAGTGCTTCCAAATCTAATGAAAATATTTTAATATTTACTATGACACTCATAATCCCACACTCATATTACTATATTCCACATTCATAGTACTATTACTAATTTCTTCAACAACCGCTTTCAACCTCCATTTAATTTCTTAGTTACTTCCGATCCAATTTTATATATAAGAAAAATTTTAAATTTTCCAATTTATTTTTTAAAAAATTTCGATATCTTATAATATAAAAATATTTTTTTTTTATTATACTGCGAATTACATTTTTCTCTCTTTAGCAAAAACAGTTTCCAGGGGAAAAAAGAGAAAACAAAATTTAGTTAATTTTTGTGTCACTAGGGGGGAGCAAAATAAATAACATAGAAAAGTTGTAATTTTTCTTATTTTTATACATTCAACATTTTTTGGTTGTTTTTTACTTGACAGGAGGCATTTTTAGCAGCTACATTATGTCAAAGTCAAAGTAATACAAATGTTTTTTTTTTTTTTTTTACTTTATGAACCTTAAAATAAAATTAGCTGTATTGAAATGGTGTTAGAATTAGAATTAGAAAATATTTACTTTTTCCTATTTTTGTTTCTGTTTACCTTTTTCAACCATTTTTTAATTGTCAAAAATTGACACATATCGTAGTTAATCTATTAACATGAATTGTCAAAGATTACAGTTTTCAATTT